GGCTTTTCTTCTCTCTACGTTTATTTTTTACCAAAATAAGGGGGCCTCGGGGCCCCCGATGCCCCCCGGTGCCCCTCCCGTGGATCCACCACTGTTAACGTCTGACTTCCAAAACGACAGACTACCTTAATGTCACTCCGCGCGTCTTCCTGATCCTTCTCGAGCCGGCTAATTTTCTCTTGTGCCTCCTGAAAAAACAGTCCATCACACAATTAGCTCGAGAACATTGAAAAACACCACGATGTAAATATAAAAGCCATACGTGGGCAATAAGGCAATTATTTTCTCATGTCATCCCATCTGTTGCTCGGTTCATTCCTCTCATAAGCGTCACGTAAAGATCTACTGCTAAGCAACACAGCAAATTTTAAAGGTGCGATGATGTATCAGGGCTAATGTCTGCTAAAGTTACTCCCAAGAGTGAAAGCAGGAGTTTCAACTAGGGAGGGGTGGGGTGTGGTCCGATAATATGTAAGGTCATTGTAGATTGTTGTAAATACTACAATTTCTCAAGAAGGAGGGGAGGGGTGGGGTGGGGTGGGTAGTTTCTTCTTTGCTACATCCTTGACTTCTTGACTCAACTCTATTACCATAGACATATATTAAAGAGTTTTGAGGCCATTCCTCAAAACTCAAGTCATCACGGAGGAAAGGGTTGTTCCTGACCGTTTACCTTGGAAGCAGTTTGCAGTTTACAGAGCTGAGCTTCGTAGTTCTTGCAACTTTCGCATTCCTTTCTCAACTCCTCCTCCAGAACCTGCAATGAGTAATTTAGAAAATTTATCTCACGTAACACTTATACCTAAATAATCTATTAGCCGCCGTCACAATAATTAAAGTGTTACCCATTTTATTGATTTTTTTAGGAATTTGATCCGTGAAAAACAACTGTACACGGTGTATGAAGACCTTGGTAAAAAACTAAATCAGTGAATCGTAACTGAACTTATAACAATGAAGCTTCAAAAGCAATTGAAATAGCTGTGCTTTTAAGAGTCGAAAGTAATCCGGATGAATTGGTTTTACTTCACTAGATGCTTCGGCATTTCTCCCAATAAATCAGATGCAAGATTTAAACAAATTTCTTGGAATTCTCCGGTCGCTGGAGTCAGCATCCAGTATCCAGTATCCAAGGTCACAGATTTGATCATTTTTGTCACTTACTTTAATGAATAGTCACAGGTTTTGTTAGGTCTTAGCACGATCACGGTCAAAAGCTATCAGAAAATCACATCGCCTCGGGTTGACAAATAATTGGGAGGGTACTTTCCGGTTAATTAGCATATCTTTGTGGTCAACGATTACATAATAGCGTAATGTGTGCCCCAGTCCCCGACACCGGCGATAGAAATTTCACCACTTGCGTTTTAATTTCACCACTTGCGTTTTTCGCGCGCTGCGGGCGATCTTGCTCATTTCAACATTGTGTTCTCATCGGTTCCTACTATGGCTTCTAAGTACATGAAGTCGTTTTCATTACTTTTGTTTTAGTTTTATGACATTCAATTCGAAATACTTTCTTAGAATTCGCACCACAGTGTCGTCCAAACGGATGAGACAAAAATTCGAAAGACATCTTGGTTAGGAAGGCTTTTTAGGCACTTGGTTCCCTTTCGAGAATGTGCTTTCAGTTCTCACAACTTGTTGTATTCTTTCATCCACTGTGAACACCATTGCAACTGCTTTACATACCTAACCGAGTTAATTACCTCGATTTTCCTTTGCATTCCGTTCATTCGTTCATCCTTTTGCTCAAGAGATTTGTGCAGCTCACTGACACTTTTTTCTTGTTCAGCAATCTTTTCCACACACAAAAAGAAATTGAATTAAGCAATGAATTTCTATTTCTTAAAACTACTTATGCTCATTTGTCATTTATGAAATATGTGGTAGTCACTGAGAGAAGTATATTTTTGGATTAATAATAATTAATAATTAATAATATTCGACGATAAAAGATGGGGATAAAAAATATTTCTAAAACCATTAAGATACATTTTACAAAAGGCTGAAACAAAGTTAATCGACGACGTTTCGACGTTAACATAACGCCATTATCAATTCAAGAAGAATCATAAGTTTAAGAGGCTTAAATACTAAAATAACAATAGGTCCTGATTGAACCGTTTAAAACAATAAATAACTAAAAACTGAACAAATAGTCTTGCACGTATGGGAATCCGCTTGCACGTTCAACTTCGGTTGGAGCTTCTTGATAAGAAGCATTTCAAATGCTAAGCAATCAATCAAACCTAGTTTCACATTTTCTCAAATTATTAATTCCAGTAATATTTACTTGTTCATGTAGCTTTGATTCCTTGACAGTGTGCTCAGTTTCTAGAACTGTTAGCCGTTCCTGATGAGCCTGTTGCGAAATAAAAATAAAATAAAAAGTGAGCCGAACAGGAAGCAACTTGAAAACAAACACACACGCAGAGTTGACTTAATTGTCCACTCTAGCGGCTAAACTTTTCCTTGTAAATTAGTTTAGAGAATTTGGAGTTAGATCAAGATAACAACTTCGACCTGATTTTTTTAACATTCTCATTACCCGTTTGCTCGAAAATGCATGGATCTAATCGGTAGGAGTTACATGTTCATCACTTCTAGGAGTTAGAAGGATTAGAGCAAAACAAACGAACCTTCCCCTGTTCTTTCATGGCTTCATCGACAGATGATTTTTCCTGCTCAATTTGTTGAATCTGATGGGGAAAGTAATAAAAATTCTTATCTGCTAGACAAATCTCTTTAGTATATGATGTTTCAACAATACAAAGCAAAGTCTTAAAGAATTTATTTCAAGTTTTTGTCAGTGAAGTTTGATCAGTATAGGATTGGAAACACTTGTGCTCCTTCTCCTCTCCCCATGTGATTTCTTTAAGGAGAGTATGAAAAAAACTATTAGCGAAAAACATTGACCACCAGGTAGTGTAATAAGATTATTTCACTTGATAAAGGACTCAGTTCTCCCCACTAACATTAAAAGAAGCGGGTAAGAGAAATGTTCCCGTTGAACTATCGATAAAACTGGTTCATGTAGACAAAGGGCTAACCTTTGACTGAAGCTGTTGGCATTCTGTGACTTGCTTGTCACACATTTCCTGAAAACAAAGACACAAAGATGCTTGTCGAACCTTGCTTCGTCTTGAACATGGTGTTATCTCCGACATTTCCACCAGAATATGAACTACGTTATACCTTTGAAAAAATTGTGCTGGAAATTCACTTTAGTTGCCAAGGTTTGAAGTTTCACTACTCCTTCAGGATGGAATGATGGTTCTCAGTTCCAGTTACTGCAAGTATTTTATAGGTTTCCACCAGTAGTTTGGGAGGGACGTTTGGACACTAGCCAATCAAGAGCCAGTATTTTGTACCAAGTGGTAGGTCTCCACCAATCATATTACAGGATTAGCACGTGGTTCAAAATGCTGGCTCTTCATTGGCTAGTATCCAAACGTCCTTCCTTGGCTTCCTTGGCTTCATCCAACTACCTTTAATTGTACCCATTTACAAATTCTGGAAGAAAAAGATAAGGCTTGATTCGGGTGTCGTTTACGCGAAGAAAGATAATACGATACGAAACTTTGTCCAAAAGCGCTCTTAACTTCATTAGCTGTTCTCTTCACCTCATCAAATTTCTCGTAATACCTCTTTTTCTTTTAACTTGTCCTTTACATTCTTTAGCATTTGCATTAACTCTGAGACTTGGTTCTTGCTGGACGCATCCAATTCTGACAGTTTAGCCTCTAGAGCTTGCTGAAAAACAACAAATAAAACCAGCAGATAATTAGACTTTCCATTTACTGGTAAGCCCTACCTATCTTGGTAGATGGCCGCAGAAAAGGCGCAAACTTGCGACTTAAAAACAGGGCATTTGCTCCGCATGGAAAACTCATCCCATAAAACAACAAGAGCTGAATTGATCCCCACGAGTTTACTTCAACGAAAGTTATTGCCTTCCCCCCCTTTCCCCGATATTAGTTGGGTGTTTCTACCAATTAGATACGAAGCCACATGTTAGGAGCTGGGCAAAACATACAAAAAAAAAAAATTGAGCTAACCTTTTCTTGCATGTAATGTTTATTCGTACTTTCCATCTGATCAGTCTTCTCCTTTAGGGACTGTCGTAATGATAGCAGCAATCAATAAAATAAATGGTTTCAGCAGAACGCAATGCATTGACATAGCAAAGAGATCGCATTTCAAAAGAGTGTTGTGAAGCGCCAAACTGAAAGTTCTCTAGGAAAAAAGTCAAATTAAAAGCGAGCAACCTGGCCGAAGCACGGATAGCTCCAGTAGACTAGCTGAGAAGGTGGAGTGAGTTTTCACGATCATTTACAGAACGCAGACAGTAAACGAAAAGCAAACTAAACTAGCATCAGAGCAAAAGTCAATTAAGTGTCGAAAGTAAACCACGATTGCTTTGGTTAAAATTAACTTTGCTCCGTGACTGGTCCAGAAATATCGCGCCATCCTCTCAATCAATCAGATGCAAAACTAAACACAATCGAAACTTGGTCATTCGAATTTTCCCGCGCTTCAAGCAGGTTGCTTGTTTTCACTATGAGTCACCGTTGGCTTGTGATGACGTCAACCTTTGTTCTGATTGGTTGTTGTGAGTACTTTGGTTTTGCATTTCGAAGCTCGATTGAAAACTGCTCTCAGTAAGTTATACAAGTCAAGCTGTAAGAAGAACCTCTTAAACCACTTAAACTTACTTGCGAAGTAGAAGCTAACTGTTCCTTTAACGAAACAATTTCCTTTCTTGCATCTTGCTGTTCAGATCCCAAATTGGAAATAAGTTTCTCCTAGACAACAAAATTTTAAAAAAAACCTTATCAGTAAAATATGCGTTGTAAAATGTAAGCTACCTAAAATCTTGCACGCCATTTCCTGTCGTCGTGCAAAGCCAAACGCTGTTCCAAACACGGACACAGCGTGAAATTCGACGTGGCCCATCGTCTTAACCGTTTGGTGGCTGAGAATGACTGGTGCCCAATTTCTCTTTACAATGCCACCTCTGAATCACTCATTAGGGTCGCAAGTATAAAGGAAATGACCACCAACTTAAGAAGCTCATGATTGTAAAACAAATTCTCCTTTTCAGGACCATAGGAAATGTATGAAGAACACCATGGAGAATGTGCATTAAGTCAATAACTCCGATATTCTGGCGAAAGCCTGGAGGCTAAATAAGCATTCTAGCGCTCAAAGGTCTCTATAACCGTGAAACTTGTTTGCGCGTCAAGAATAGAGTCTTTATTGATTCTCCCTCCTTTGGTAAAAGCTGTTTTTATTCTAAAGAAACTTTTTAATACCGTCTGATATTTCATAAAGACACCGCATCGTCAAAAATAATTCCCCTTCATACAAGAAGTTTTTTTTTTCGCTCTCCTGGCCCTTAGAATCTCGTTCTCTGCATTTTAAAGAGTCGACACTTATCGTAGTACAAACCTTTTCTTCTAGTAAAGTCTTGGTAGATGTCAAATTTAATGACAGTTGCTCCTTTTCAATCTCCAAAGATTTGATGCTCTCTGCAGATTTTTCCTTAGACTTCAAAATAAAAAGAGAGGGATATTTCCGTAAGAACATTGCAATTTGAGTCTAACAATTTGTCTGATTTGTGATAAACAATTTCTCACATTTTTTCTACTTTAGAAGATGTCGAAACAAGCCAATTACCTCTTGCAATTCTCCTCTTAAAACCAAAATTTCTTTTTCCTTTTTGCTCAAGGACTGCTGCGCATCATCGATCTGTTTTTCCAAGGTGCTTTTCTCGGACGCTTTCTCTTGTTGTAACAATGTCATTACCTCAACCTAGAGAAAAATAAAAACTATCACCAGACGTACCCACGGATGTATCGATGTATGAGGCCCTTAGCAACACGGGCCGGCGACAGATCTGCAAGGGATCAAGCCCTCCTCATTAGTGCCAGACCCCCGGCAAACCTCTATCTTCCAGACTGGTCTCCAATCTTCCCACGAGCGCAGTAGAAACGCGCATACTATAGGGCTAATAGGGAGGGCATGTGGACAGGCAAATACAGAACTAAAACCAATTAAGACTTGGTCGCCCGCGTTTTCTTGCTTTTAGGTGGTTTGCTTGTTTTTACTTTGAGTTCTTATTGGCTCTTCAAGGTGTTTCCCTATTTCTGATTGGACGTTGTAATTACTTTGGTTTTAAGGCAAGAGTTCCAGATAACCCCATACATTAATTATGCATAGAGTGTTGCAAAGAAATCTTTATAGTTAGTCTTTATGAAATGAATGCATAATTAATATATGGGGTTATATGGAGCTCTTTCCGGTTTTAGTTTTACGACAGTCAATCCAAAAACGCTCTGATTCAATACCTTTCCCTTCACTTCAGTTTCAAGCTGTGCTGCCCTCTTTGCATGATTTTCCAGTTCCATTTCTAAGGTCTTCGCTTGGATTTCAAGTTTTGTGTGGCTTTCCCTTATGCTGTCATAATCTTCTTTCAACTTTGAAAAATAGATGAGAATCCGATGTTACCAATGATACCCACAAGATCAACGACAGTTTACAAATAAAATATGAACATAACTTGTACACATAAACTGCTTCACGTAATATGTCAAAAACGAGTGCGCGCGTTCCATCAGGGGTTCCAGACACCGAGAAACAGATGAAAGCACGAGGCCGCAGGCCTCGTGCTTTTATTGTTTCGAGGTGTTTGGAACCCCTGATGGAACGCGCGCACTCGTTTTTGACATGACTTCTCAATCTCGCCTTAAAAATACAATGCTATAAAGCATGCAAAAACAATGTATTCCCTGTGGGAATGGTAAATAGCTCATGCAAGTCTCTGCCTGTATTTTGAAGGCTATCTTTAAGACAAGAAACGGAGAATGGAGGAAGAGGGAATGGGGGATGGGGGAATGGGGAATGGAGGAATGAGGAATGGGGAATGAGGAATGGGGAATGGGGAATGGGGAACGAGAAATCTTTAAAATGGGGAATCTTTAAAAGCAGGAATCTCTAAAATGGAGAATCTTTAAAAGCGGCAATATTTAAAACGGAAAATCTTTAAAAGCGGGGTACTTTAAAATGGAGAATCTATGAAACGGTAAATCTCGGCTAAAAGCGGGAATCTTTAAAATGGGGAATCTTTAAAAGCGGGAAGCTTTAAGATGGTGAATCTTTAAAAGCGGGAACCTTTAAAACGGGGAATCTTTAAAAGCGGGAATCTTTAAAAGTGGGAAGCTTTAAAAACGTAACAATTTTTTTTTGGTGGATGGCAGTGGCAATCGATTATTATTACTCTTTTTTTATTAACCTGAATGGTAGGTCAGCCATCAGCCCTATAAGCAATTATGATTGAATACACTGATCTACAACGTTTTCCGGTATTATCTTCAGGGTTCAAATAACAGCCTGCTGCTGGCGGCAGCTGTAACTTTTAACACACTTGCTGGCAATTTTTCACCAAAGAATTAAAACTTTTATAGAAACTATTATGCTTATTGATCGTCCAACTGAAGTAAAAGTCGCTGTCCTGTTATGGTGAACATTTATATCAGACAATAAAGCAGCCAAGGAGAAAAGCTTATACGTGAGCGAACAGGGCATCGGTCCAACGCTTTATTACAGTACGAGAAACCCAGTGAGGAAAATAAAGGAAAGGTATCTTATTTGCTGGGTCCAAATGTTGTGTTAAGTACTTCCAAAAGGGAAACTTGTAAACAAGAGGATGAAAAGCCATTAATTTCTTTATTTTAATGTTGCGTTCCACGAGGGAACTTTCCGGTATTGTAATTTTCACGTTGTGACTAAGTTATCGAGGTACGGTTGTGAATAATTGACTGTATGGTAATTGAGGTTGCCAATTAAAATTCAAGTGTCTTGATCAGTGTTTTCATCAGTTTTTTTAACTAAACGGGGCAACGTTGATCTAGATTTTCATTGGGTATCAAGATACATGCCCCTGACCGAAATGGAGCACTTCGATCGGCTTCTAACCGTATTAATAATTAATGATTTGAGAAAACTGCGTCAATTGTCCCGCCCAAGAATAGAACAAAATGACCTATGTCACGGATCTAAGCTGGATCTCCAGGGCGTGCCCACGAATACAACACAACGACCTTAGTCACGGGTCTAAGCTGAGCCTTTCAAGGGCGTGCCCACGAACACAACGCAATCACCTTATCATGGGTCCAAGCTGAGCCTTTTGAGCCAGATTGGAGGTATGAACCACTAAAAAAACGGTTGCACTCGAGCCAAGTTGCCCATCCAGTCTGAGCTCATCCAAGTTTCTGAGGCATGGAGTGACTATAAGTATTGCTTATGCACTCTTCGGACGACCGAGGCCTGGGCCGGAGAGGCACTGTGAGAGTAACAAATCCTGCCCAATCCTGCTCGAGATCATAACGACCCGGCCAGATCTCGTACCAGGAACTCTCGACCCGGAGAACAGCGCGCTTACAGTTACTCCACCGAAAATTCTGTCATTGCTCAAAAGCCAGCACAAATGATGTTTTCTAGTCAAAATACCTTCACATTCTGCTGTTGAAGGGCACTCAGTTCCTTGAGCTTCTCCTGTAAAGTCTCCTGAGAGGATCGCACTTGTTCATCCAAGACAGACTTTTCAGCGGCCTTGGCGGCTTCGAGAGCCACAAGGCTTTCGCTCTAAACAGAATACAAGAATGATTGGACTCAATCAAAATCTTGTGATTACTCATATTTCAAGTAACATCGTTTGTCTCGAGATGCTGTCACTTCCCATGTTATCAGCAAGCTAAACGTAATGTGCCACTCTCAGCTAAGTACAGTAAAATGCTTCAAGAGGTAAAGCGTTATTTGTCGACCTTATCGGCAGATGACGACTTACTAAGTATGGAGTCTAAAGTGACCGCATCGTGAGACAACAGATAATTATTCTATTTTTTTTTTCACAAAGAAACTGGCACAACAGAAGACACCGACCATAACATCACCTTCTGAGATTGTCTACATCGACAGTAACACTCAGGTTTAAACATGTGGTAAACATGTTCTAACAACTTGTTTTAATTACAACTTAGGCCTTTGCTTAAAGCTGCTAACTTGTATCAACAAGTGGACACCTAACGTGACGACTTAACTTTCTATGAAACCAATCACTCTGCTGTGATTTTACTACCAAACAGTGTATCACTCACTTTTTCTTTAACTTCCTTTCTGAACTCCTCCATTTGTTGTAACGAAATCGTACACTGTGATGTAAGATCTGTCACTGTGTTCTCAAGTTTGGCAGTGTTGTCTTTTTCTCTTGCCAACTCTTCCTCGACCTGTACGATTATAAACGACAGACACAAATACATGAAATAAACACTTACTTACTATTACGGTACTCATCTGAAATGCATACTCAACCTTTTTTTGTTGCTTATGCATCTCCTCAATCTTCGTCGAATGTTCTTGTGTTTGAGTTTGTAGCGTAGCTTCCAGCTGCTGAAGCCGTGTCTGATAACTTTCCTAAAGGGTAAAGGAAGTAAAGTAAAGTAGCGCTTTAATTAAATCCATATGGCAGACATCTAAGGCTGAATTTCATGAATTTACAAATTCCATTAACCATTCCATTAACCAAGGAAAGGTCGTAAAATTCCGCAGTTACGAAGTAGATTAAAGGACGTTCCATCAATTGGGATACGTTTGCGTAAATTCCCAAACAGACGGAGCTCACCAGGCGAATAAATATAGCGTTCAGTGCGACAATGCACATCGTTGACTTCGCTTAGCGGGAAACTTGAGATGGATGAGAACAAGTTTCGACAACCAGACGGGCGAACCAAACGTCGACAAGAAATTTGGCAGCATGTCCAAGGCATAAGAAATATATCTTGGAAGTTATATGAGTAAAGGCAGAAGTGTCATTCCTGAATAAGGTTTTCTAACAGCAAAGGACATTTTCCCAGGGATCGACATTAAACGCCATCCCACCAGCCATTGGCCAGTGCTTTTCGATTTCCACTGGCCAGTTTGGCTTGTAAACAAACTGAAACTGTCGTAACATCTAAGATGTCACTAGCCACTTGGCTAGCAGGTTGTAAAGTTAGTGTCAAACCCTGTTTTTCTGTTGTTTACTCTGAGAATTTGCATCGAGGAAGACATGCCAATTTGTAATGTATGTGAATTGAAAGAAAACAAACAAAAAGGAATCGAACTCCAGGTCTTATGAATTAGTATTGTACTGTGATGCTCTACCACTGAGCCTCAGATAACTTGATGGTGAGCAATGTCGTACATTAGATTTCGTATATGACAACCAAACTGTGCACTATCGTGATCAGCGGTTTCAAAATACCTTTTCTTGTTTGAGTTGTTCAATCACCGTTTCAGCTCCACCGCCAGCTTCAATCTGAAATTTAACAATAGGTGGCTAAGATTTTTGTCAATTTGGTTCACCGAGGATGAAATTTCTCCAGGTAACTGTGATGCCGTACTCTGTAAGCGTGACAAAACCCCAGCAGCTTTATGGTATGGAAAACGAGTTAATCTCCGGGTCACGTGCTGACTTTTTTAGTAATATACCTTAGCAATGAGATCCGTCCTTTCTTCTTCAAATCTTGCAATGTCATCCTTCTTTTGCTGAAGACTACTTTCAAGGTCTTTGATCGAGAGTTCTCTGTATACAAAGAAATGTAACAGAACCAAAAGACAGTCTCATGCGCATCCATAAGGAATTTCCCTTACGGTCGGCCATACATTCCTTGTGATTTTACTTCGGAGAATTTCGTATTGGATCAACTAATAATCCCCCGATTGACATTGTTCTTTAGTGACATCACCTGTCTGCTTGATATTGTATAGCCTGCAGAACAGACGTAATTTTTTGCGTTTTACGGGCGAACGGAGAAAAGCACTGGGGCGAGCGCGAAGCGCGAGTCCCGCGCGCGGGGAGGAGCGCGAAAAACTAACCTTTTTTCATTTTTTTTCGCGCTCTTGCCCCTCGCGCGTGACTGGCACTTCGCGCCGCGTCGCGCTTGCCTCCGTTTGACTAAAAAATGCAAAAAAACTTCGCCTGCTCTGCAGGCTAGACATCGAATTGACGTTGTAAGGAGAAACTCTGTCGTGGTCATTCATGAAAGTGAAAACGGATAAGATAACCTAGATGGTTCCAAAGAGAATAATAATTATACCAGCTTACAACTTCTTTAAACCTTTCTGTAATCAGGCCTCTGNATACAACACTTGTTCATGAAGATGTACATGTAATTTATGTTTTTGCCTAGTTCACTAATTTTTTTTCTTTTTTTTCATCATTTTGTAACAGCAAATTCAACACCCCACAGCCTCTTTAGTGGCAAGAGTGGCCACAGCCCAAGTTAGTAAACTTTCCTTTTGTCTCCTATTAGAGTACAAACATTTTTCAAGTTTCCTTAACCCTTTAACTCCCAGAAGTGATTAACATGTAACTTCTCCCTATAATATCCATACATTATCCAGCAAACAGGTAATGAGAATACTCAGACTTATCAGGTAGAAGTTGTTACCTTGATTGAACACCAAATTCTCATAACCAATTTACAAGGAAATTTGTAGCAGCTAGAGGGGAGAATTAACAATCAGATCTTAGCCTTCCTACCTGGCTGAGATCATGCTGAAGGTTGATAAGATTACGTTGTTGTTCCTGGCTCTGCTCCTGAGCTTGTTTTCTGTTTTCTGTAGATGCTGTTACTGCTGTCTGTAAGCTGTCAAATCATGTCACATCACTGATAAATCAAATATTTCAAAACAAAAAACACTGCTCTTCAAAAAAATTTTCCTCATCTATTCATTTACCTCTGCACTTGTTCAATTTTTGCTGCCTTTTCAACCTCAAGCTCCTTCACTTTCATTTGTAAGCTAAAAAATACGATAAAATTACAAGCCGTCTGTTATATTGGAAGATGTAAACAAGAAGTAAACAATAAATTGTTGTCCTTCACAGTCTGATGATCCCACCTGTTGACTTCTGTTAAGGTTGCATTGAACTTTTCCTGCCATGATTTGTGCTCCTCTTCCTTTTCTTGCCTAAGTGATGCCACTTGTTGCTGTGCAGTAGAAAGCTGATTCTGTAAAGTGATCACCTCATCTCCAGATGGTCTTTGGAGAAATTAAAAAAAAAAAAACATAAATAAATGCAAGGGACAAAATTAATGGAATGATAAAGAAATTTAAAGAATGAAAATTGACAGTCCAAGATCCCACAGACTGATGGACAAAAAGCAGTCAGTCATTCAGTCAGTGAGACAGACAGTTAGGCAGACAGACAGGCAGACAGATGGGTCAATCGGTGGATGGGTCAGCAAAACGTGTTAAATGCTTTTTTCACTTTTCTTCCAAATCACAAACCTTTGCAATAGCTGTTTTTCTAGGTTTTCATTTAGCCTTGTTTTATCTTCTAGCTGTTCCTAAAAAACATAAAGCAAAGAGTAAAATTATAATGCATTTTGTACTTGCTGAAAAAACCTGTTAGCAATTGTGGTAACTATCATTTTAGAAACCTCTCTTGAAATCAAAGCAAAAGTCAGAAGTTTCACAAGGTTATGTAAGATTGGAGGCTAAGAAAAGTGTATAAATGAGCTAAACTTATAACCAAGAGTAAAACTTTTCACAAGTCAAATAATTACAGACGGTAATTAAGTGCCTGACTGATACCATGCATACTAAACAAAACTCACCTTCAACCTGCTGATTTCTTCACTGTTAGTCTTCTGTTGCTTTTTTTCTCCTTCCAAAGTTGCTAAGAGTTCAGCATTTTCTGTTGCCTGTCAGAACAAGCAGACCCTCTTAAGTAGAGTCAGAAGAATTAAATCTCAGTCATATATTTAAGAAAAAATTAAGACTTATGGTGATTAGTCTGGAGAAAGTACAATATATAATTTCCACGGTTGATAACTTGGCTCTAATTGCACTTTCATGTCTAACTAATATTATAGGAAAATTTTATTTTCTGACCAAGAAATTATGCCTTAAGTTGTATGATAAAACTGATATCACACAAATCTTGAACTGATGAGTGCAATATCAGTTTTCAAGTGTAATTTAATGCAGAATTCACGAGTCGCGTAATGGATTTTCCTTGAATTGTATAATTGAATAAAGATAAAAAAAGAGGAAAACAGCAATAATATAATTAGTTTGTTTTTATCCTGAGTGCAAAACAAGATATGCAAAAGAGTATCACTAAGCCTTGTTTTGAACTCGCAATTCTACTTTGTAAACCAATACCTAACTTTGTAAACCAATCAGAATGCAAGATTTTAATCAATTACGTGATTCTAATGGTAATTCCCTTTTCATATAAAACCAACAACCCAGACCACTCATGCAACTCTCTACAGTTTGCTTTGCTCAGTGCCTCAGACTTCCACCCAAAGAAAGATTGTTGTTCACCAATGCTCACGATGAGGGTCAATCCACAATGTATAGGCTGTTTCAAGTATTGCTGTGGGCATTTAATAGAATTTGTAACTTACAGGGTTTGTAGTGGGGCTCCCACGCGCTTCGCACGTGTGGGGCAGAGCCCCATACCCATGGAATATGGTCAACCTCTTTTCATTTGGTTGTCACGTGACTGACCAACGTACGTACGGACATACACACATATGTACATGCCTTCAGATGGCATGGGTAGGGTTGGGGAGACTATCAAAACGAAGGGAGGGGTGTCTCAGGCAAGTCTTGGCAAATGCACATCTTATATGTCATCATTAATATTACTTTTCAGTTCTGAAAAATGTCAAATTAAAATTCCAAGACTTTCCAGGTTTTCCAGGGCCTGTACAAACTCTGAACTTAGATAAAGAGGCTGGAGTTCTATTGAGCCTAATTTAAAGTGATAATTCACATATTCCACTCTGAGATTAAGAACAATAAACTAAACAATTAACTGGAGTAGAATTGCCAGTTGAAAACAAGGCTTAGTGATACTCTTTGCATATCTTGTTTTGCACTCAGGATAAAAACAAACTAATTATATTATTGCTGTTTCCCTCTTTTTTTAGTTTTATTCAATTATACAATTCAAGGAAAATCCATTACTCGACTTGTTAATCCTGCATTAAATTACACTTGAAAACTGATATTGCACTCATCAGTTCATGATTCATGTGATATCAGTTTTCCCACACAACTTAAATTTCTAAGACTTCGTCGTTTATGTAGTGATGACTGATTTCCACCACAAATCAGAGTCAATGTGCCAGTTTTTCGACAAACGTGGTTACCCTGATTCTGACGTTCAAACGGGTTACCACCACGTCCGACTTATTGATCGACATTCAACACTACAAACATCGCAAAAGGAAGGTTCCCACCGCATTCCATTCACTGTCATGTTTCACCCTCACAACCACTCAGTTAAATCCATCATTCTTAAAAACTTTAAATTACTTCAAAATGATCCAGAGACAAGCACTATCTTTTCACAGCCTCTGCTCATTTCATTCAAACACGACAAAAACAGAGGCAATTTTTTGGTCAGAAGTTCTTTTCAGACTAATGACCAACCAGGCACTTTTAAATGCGCTCNNNNTGACTGCCTGAGTCGTGTAATAATGTAGGTTATGGGACCTCATTTTTTCCTCTTGCACTTATAGCCTGAGTGCACCTCAGCCATAAATCAGAGTGGAAAAAACTTGGTCCTTAGATTACAGTAGAGATCTTGAATTAGCCAGCTTACTAGGTGATAAATAATGCATTTATTAGTTAAACCTTATCAAAACATCAAGAAATGGTTAGATATTCTAGTATTCTCAGATAGGGACAAATAAATGGAGGTCCTGTCTCCTGCAGGGTTGGGGTAGGAGACGTTAATTTCCCACACACAAGATTACTGTGTGATGAATGTCCTCCCCTGGGGTGGGATGGGTGGGAGGGTGGACTAGCACGAATGGTTCCTATGTTCCTTTCTAGTCCTTCCCCACTGCAAAAACTTAATGCAGTGAAAATGGACTAAATTAAATTAAATCAATTAAATTAAATTTAAAAAGCGCTAGTTGGGAAAACATCTCAGCCATCAACCACACCCTTAATCAGGATCTTAAACGTCTACCTGAATGGCTGGCACAGAATAAGATGTTCATAAATAATCAAAAACCAACTCCATGCTAGTAACAGGGAGGCACCTACAGAACAAAGTTGCCTCTCTCTCAATTGATGTTAATTTGAAAGGAAATTCCATTGAGATTGTCACCGATTTCAAGCTTCTTGGCAAACATTAGATAAAGACGTTGCTTTTGATTGTCAGATAGATGGGTTGAGCAAAAAACTTGTGAAACGGATAGGTCTCTTTCGTCATATAAGTCCTTATCTAAAAGGGAATCAACGTGAAATTTATTACTCCAAGATTATAAAACCTGTGTTCTTTTATAGCAGTTCGATATGGACCTCTTGTAGTAAGGAAAATCTTCAGAAACTTCTTTCGTCTTCAAAAACGTGCGGATAGAATTATTTTAAATGCCAAAAAACGGCCCCTTCTGTTCACTTATTCAATACTTTAAACTGGATTCCTTTCTATGCCCTGTCATATGTAAATCGTTGTACCTTAACCTACAAAAGACTTAATGGTAATATATACTCCAGAATATATAAATGACTTACTAATCAAAAACTCTGACATCCATAATAAAAAAAAAACAGATTCTGTAATCTAAATTTAAGTTGCCCTCGCTACAAGAGATGTACGGAGGGTGGCCGGATGTTCACCGTAAGAGCAATCCAAGAATGGAACAAGGTAAATGTAGATCTTAAATGTAGTCCTGGTGCAAAACATTTTAAAGGATCACTCTATAAAATTAATCAATTTTAAAAATCAATTTATTACTCAGTCTTTCATTAATATCTAGAAGTTTTATATCCTTTTTACATAAATTATGTTTGCGAGATTGTAGGTCAGTTTTTGATTAATTTTCTCTTGTATTTACTTCAAAGGCCACTAGGTTATCAGTTTAGTTACTGTCAAATGTTACCCTCTCCAATAAAGTCTACTTACTTACTTACTTAAACACTAACACCAATCAGAGTGGAAAAAACTTCATCCATAGCTTACAGTAGGGATCTTGAACTAGCCAGCTTAGTATACTAGGTGATAAATAATGCATTATTTTATTAGTTAAACACTAACACCAAGAAAGTGGTACTTACATTTAACACTATTTTCTTTTTCATCCAGAAGCTTCCTCTCTGATTCCTTCCCCAATGTTTGTTTCTCCTATAACAAAAAATCATTTCCAAAAATAAGATCACCAAAGAAGTGTATGCATGTACTAATTGTGTATCAAATACAAGGAGTGTTTCTGGTCCAAAGCCACATGTAGACTTGTTACCACTGACCATCTCCAGTGAGCTAATTTTTTCCTCCAATTCCACCTTCTCTTTTGTCATCTTGTCAACCTCTTCTTTCAGAGCAGCAGAATACCATTTTTCTTCTTTTAATGAAGCATTCAACTCATTAAGCTCTTGCTGTAGATACATTATTTCTTGAGTTTTACCCTCCAGTTCTTTGAGTTGATTTGACAAGAGAGAAACTTCTGACTCCTTCCTAGGAACTGGTAACTCCTCATCAAATGACAGCAAAGAGCCATGCCTTTCATTCCAAACTTTTGTAGTGTTTGCAGGTAAACTTTGTGACAAATGTGCATCAGTTGGTTTAATCTGGGAGGTGGGAATATATATAAGAGGAAATAATAAAAAGATTTACCAATACATCAGGTTTTTTTTAAGGAAGAAAATACCTCAGTTCAAATACACTTCTTCTTTACTTCCTTAATGCAATAATAGTAATAATACTACTACCACAACTACTATTTATAATAATAATTATAATGATAAATAACACATTTAAAATATAATTTTTTCAATGCCAAATCATGGATCTTGAATTTTGCAAAGTAATGCCAAAAATTACACCCTGCAATATCCTCCAATAGTTTTTTAAAGACTGACTTCAAATTTATGATGATTTTAGGATGCAGGTTTAAACTCAGTACACTTTAATCAAACTTGCAAACCAAAAACTTGATGATATCATAAAATGCATTTCTAGGGTATATTTTCAGATAGTGGGTAATATACTGTCTATACAGGTTTGTTACCAAGCTCTGACTGCTGGCAAAGTTTGCTGGATGAAAATCAACAATCACCAGCTGAATTTTTGGCCAACAATTGCTCAGTAAAGTACAGTGGGCAATTCTGAGGTTACACATTAAATATTAAAAATATTATTAAAAATAATTCATCATCCTTAAGCTAGTACCTCTCTTAAAATTTCAGCTGGCTGCCTAATTTCTTAGGCTGTAGGGAGAATTCAATTTTTGGTCACTCTTAGGAGTGAAGGGGTTGGTATTGATGTATCATCCAGTAGACTGGTGACAAGAACAAACAACCTTAAAAAGAGAAGTTTATGCTGATATGACAAGAACTTCTCCCAACCATACAGGGGGATATGTAACAGCTGGGTGGGAGAATTTCTTATCAGATCTTACTATTAAGAGATTCACTGTCTACAGGAAAGTGTATTAATTACCGTGGATTGATCGTTTTGGGTCTCATGAACCTGATCAAAATGACTCTGTAATTCTCCTGGACTGTTGAATTTTTTCATACATAGAGGACAGATGAAATCCTGGTTTAAAGAATAAAAAAATTAAAACTAAAGAAGAATTCTACCCAAAAAAATGCAAAACAAAAATTGTTTCAGGGAAATTGAAAGTTATTCAGAGTAGTTAAAAAATGTGCTTCTTTTCCACATAACCTGGTGTGAGGCTTTGCCATCAATGGAAAAAAAAACTGAAATTACAGATAAGTTACAAACAGACAGGGTGTGGAAGAGAAGTAATGAATTATATGCAATTGAAATTTATTAAAATATTGATATAATAATTGATGGATTAAACCAAGAAATAAACCATCTTATTACCAACTTGTGTAAAAGAAATTTGAGCCATGTCTGTGTCACAATGTCAAGAGAACACAAGTCAAAATGCACAACATGTCTGTCATGTTTTGAGTTTGTTGCATGACTTTATCAACCCTTTAACACCCAGAAGTGATGAATGTGTAACTTCTCCCTGCAATATCTAACCATTCTCCAGCAAACAGGTAACGAGAATACTCAAACTTATCAGGTACAAGTTGTCATCTTGATCTAACACCAAATTCTTATTACTAATTTACAAGGAAATGTATGGAAGCCAAAAGGGAGATTTAACTGTCTGATCTTGGGAGTTAAAAGGTTATTAAGTACCCTGCATATCAAGAGATTACCTTATTGATAACCTGTGCATAACCATACCCCTCCCCCCCTCCAAGGAGAAATGTTTCTCCTCAGGGGGTAGACTGTGTCAAAATTAATCAAGCAAAGGATTACACAAGGAGCTGGTTAAGAAGAGTAACCTTATTTCTTTGTATTCTCCAGCTGTTTTTTGCTTAATTGCTTTTTCATTTGGCTTAAAAAAATTTTTTCACTTGGAGAACAATTTTTTACCCCACTTGTTGATGCTGGTTCACTGTCAACATGAGCCGTTTCAAAATGGATTTGAAGATCCTCTGGGGAGTTGAAGGAGATCATACATACTGGACAAATGAACCCCTGAAAAAGATAACGAAATTACAATGATTAAAATTGGAGTGAACTGGAAACAGCGAGGGTTAATAAAATTTAATCCAACTTTTCCTTGTGTTAATTTTTATTTCCATACACCCCAAGACATTACCATCTTACAAAATTTGACATTGTAGACAGAGAGTTTCACTTCCTGGAAATAGGGGTCATGAAGTATGACTGAAAATTTCTGAGAGAAAGGGTATTGAAACAGTTGGAGGCAGGGAACAAGGAAACAAAGCTGCCAGACATTGGAGGAAGAGCTGATTCCAGGAAAAGTGAGAGTCTGACCCTACAGATAAAACAACGTGATGGTCTGCTAGAAAATTAATGTTCATTATCATATGAAAAAGCAAATGTATCAATAGGAGTTAATTGTTCAAGCATTTCTATGGCTAATGATCATCATTTCGAAACTCGCTTTCACTAAAATAGTCCTCAGGTGCAAACATAAATCTGCTTTAAAACTGTCACAAACCAAACTTATAATGGCTCGAAAATATTGTGGTAACAGACCCGTAAATTACGGTAAAATTATTTGAAACAAGTTTAAACCATTCTTCGAAATGCTTACAGACAAAAATTCTGCATTGTGTTCTACACAATGCTTGGGAATCGATTCCCTACCTACTCTTAAGTTTCCAACTGCATCCAAGCGACTTAAGTAAGTTTTGCAGACATAAAATGTTCAACAGAACATGACACTAAATATGTCACTTGTTTGAGGACGTGACGTGACGGTTTCACAAGGAGTACAAACTCAAAACTTGACGCATTAAAAATTAAAAACTAATCTGAAGGGCATAATTTTTTTAACTAAGCATACACATCGAACATGCATATATGTCAGTACATTGTTTGCCCTCGATCGACAACAGTTGTCGCGCGCGAAGAGGTAATTCCGCCTTACATGTGCGTGCTATCAATTTCATTTTCAAGTGACAACACACCACACAGCTGAAGTGAAATCAAACAATTAAAAAATTGCAGACTTACGGAGGTCTCGCTGGGAGACTGAGGTTGGTTTTTCTTTGTTGGACTCTCTGGCTGTAAATTATAAATAAAGAAAGCAACCTCATTCACAGCTGATATTGATGCCTGTCGTGACCTTTCTTGCTAGCTCACGATCGAACGCTTGATCAAAATCTACTACTACCTGTTCGTTGTCTTTTTTCTTATCACGCCAGCGTTTAAACATCTTGAATTTCCTTCAGTAAACGTTGAAGTAATGAGAAATTCAAAACTTATTTGTTAATAGTTGGAAATTGGGTAAAAATTGGTACATAATTGGTAGCGGTACCTTTTGGACACTTGATCTCAATTAGTTACTACCATTATTATACAAAACCGCTGATCAACATATTTGAAGGCGGCTTGTTTTCGGGGGCAACCTGCCCCTTGAAATTGTGAAAGACACTTCATACGACCGTATTTTGTGGTTGAATCGTCAATTTTATGGCGCAGATTTTGTCTTTTTTGCCATCTTGGTTGTCTTATTGACAATTCATCTTTACGTAGTGCAAGTATTTCTCAATTTTTCGCTGTTTTGGTGGTAGAATGGTCGATGTAATGTAGGTAACTTGGTCATACAATCCAACTCGGCCGAACCGGCAAACGTACGGGTCTTTGAACATTCGGGATTTTCAATTTTTGGCGTGTGTGAAGTTCCCGGACGTGGATTTCATCAAAGCTCGAAATTCGAAATTATTTTTGTTTTGGCTCACCGGAAGTAAAACAGAAAATAGATGGAAGTAGGTGGAACTAACGGTCAAAACGAGTTAAGTGGAGTTTCACTGCAGCACGAAGCGACTTGTACAGTAGACGCCAAGGCCCTTGAAGAAAATGGCGGAGATCTCGCCTTTGCTTCTACGTTTTCGCCAGATGGCCCCGTTACCGCTCTTGCCGAACTATGTAAGTAGGTTTTCATTGCTCTTAAATATTCGGCATTATTGCAATATGAAATTCTTAAAGATGGTAAAGTTATTTTAAAGACCTGGAAAGTCGGTTAAAAGTCGAAAGAAGGCTATCGTCCGCTCTTCCTCGGGTCACCCAACGAGTGCGGGATTTGTCCCGTGATAATTGCACAAAAATTAATTACCATCTAAAAAAAAACCTTGACATTTAGAGATCGTTTCTGATGTTATAACCATTACTCTGAAAAAGACTTATCTTTGCTGCTTATTGGTTTGTTTTCTCGATATTTAGGGTTTCTGAGTTTATTGGCGACACGACTTTTTGTCGTAGGGCAATTTTCAATTGAGCGTCCGAAGTTATCCAAGATTGCTTCTTGTGTTTTTGTTTTGGTTTTTTTTTATTTTTACTCCGTCTTGTGATTGGCTCAGGGAACTCCTACCACTCTCTAAACCAATCAGATGCAATATACTTTAAGAAAATTTCGAAACGATGAGTGCGATGTGGGTTTTTAATTGAGCTTAATTTATAACCAGCAGAATTCACAGGGTTTCGCTAAAAGCAGGCCCGTGGCCCACGGCCCGCAACGCCCCACTGGCCTGGTAGCCCGAAGGCCCAGCGGCCCACAACGGCCTGAGGCCCGGTGGCCCAGTCCTGATTTTCCACAGTTTTTTTGTTCAGCAGTAAATCTGCGCGCATGCCCAGATCAACAGTGAGTGTTTGTTGTATTTTGTTGAGATAAAAACGTTTTGATTCTCTGTTCATTAGTCTCTTTACAGAAACCGATAGCACAACAGAGGACTTTTATTATCGAACGATGAAAGTTATTTTCAAACCATACTTTGAAAGTGAAAATATCATAAGTAATGCAAGATATGAACTGCGAATCTTTTTTATACAGAGACATGTCGATCTATTTACAGGTACTCCACCCCAAAAGGAAAGTGTGTTCTCAAACATTGCTTTCCAGTGAGGAAAGTACCGTATTTAGTCGAATACGGTAAGCGCCCTGGGCACTTATTAAATTTTTGGTCCTCAAGGGCGGTGGGCCCTTATTCGAGGCTGGGCACTTCTTAAATTTGCACCATTTTTAGCAAGTAGCAGAATTTTAACTGCTCATTGAAAGTGTTTGTAAATTACTAAGGAAACTCTGTGTTCGGGTAAGTCTCTTAGTGGTACTTACTCAATTGCAATCTCATTGTCACTAAGGTCAATAAACGAACTCTGCTTCTCAGTCAGGTGACCGATTGATTTGCCGACATTGCGCTGTCGGACGTCGAGGAGGCAGCTCCTTATTCGAGGTTGGGTGAAGTAATACGGTACATTATTTCGGGTGTGAAAGGAGTACTTTTTGATCTCGGCGAAAAGTGAAAAAATCAAACCCTGCCATCATGAAATTCAAATTTGTTGTTTGTGTTGTGCTTCAATTTTAGCCTTGGTTCATCTTTTCTTTTCTTTTGTTGTTATGATATTTTCACTTTCAAACTATGCTTTAAGAATAACTTACATCATTCAATAATGAAAGTTCTCTATTGTGCTATCGGTTTCTGTAAAGAGACTAATGAACAGAGAATCAAAACGTTTTTTTCTGAACAACATGCAACAAACAGAAACAAGGATTCAAATGAATAAATGGTAAATGAATTCAAGCTCACTGTCGTCCATTTTGCACACCCAAACCCAATGAGATCTGTGCATGCGCGTGGATTTACTGTGGGACAAAAAAACTGTGGAAAATCAGGACTGGGCCTCCGGGTTGCAGGCCGCTGTGCCTTCAGGCTGCCAGGCCGCTGGGCCGTCACGGGCCACTGGGCCGCGGGCCTGCTTTTAGCAAAACCCAAATTCACAAGTCATTTCCGTATAACCCCATACTTCGTTATGCATACAATTCTTCGCTAAAAGAAAGCAGAGGCAAAACAACAGATTACCTTTGGGATTACGGCTTTGTTTTTAACTGGTATGGGCTTATATGCAGAAATCTTTTCTCGGAATTTTCCTTGAATTGCAAAATAATATAAGAATAGGAAAAAAGGATAACAGCAATAATATTATTTGTTTTTATCCTGAGCCCAAAATAGGAGAAACAGTATCACTTAAAGCCTTGTTTTCAACTCGCCATTCCACACTTAAAATAACTCGCTTCAGAATGTGAGTTTTCATTCAATTATGGGATTCTACATACAATTGAACCTCAATTTTCCAGACCTTGATTATCTGGATTTCTCAATTACCCGGACTTTTTCTCTGGTCCCAATTTTTTCATGAATATTCATTAGTAATGATCAAGATCCATAGCCATATTCCTTTTAAAACTACAGCATTGGAAAGTGAAGTAAAGGCGATGTTCTTCTTTCAGACAAATTGACTTACTTCAACATTTTAGACCAATGTAAGAAAATTTTCTCTTCATTTTAATTGTTAATACATGCTTGTAGGACAGTGAAGATGTAGACCATATCTTTTTCAAAACAATTTGTTAGTGTTTTGTTTTAGACTTAAACAGCACTTTCTTAATTTAATCAGTTTTTGTTCCTCATTAAAATTCACATTCTCGATTATCCAGACCCTCAATTATCAAGACCCTCAATCATCCAGACTATTTTGTACAGCCCCAACATTAGTCTGGATAACTGAGGTCCAACTGTAGTTATAATACTTATTCATCATGATTTACAGCTGGAGTAAAGCGGAAAAACCCTGATCAAACAGATGACCAAGTTAATAAGCATGTACGCCTTGACCCTGAGAGTTCAGATGGGTTTGCTGACTTGGCAACTCTTGTTAGTATGTCCTCCTCAGTTTCACTGGCTGTTTCTCAGGTAAAATTTAACTTTTGATAATAAAAATTAACGGTAAAAAAACTACGACGTTTCGAAGTCTGCATGACCTCATTATCAAGTAAAATGTTAAAACTGATGTAAAATTGTAGCTCAGAGATTATATACAAATATAATAAATATAAAATTGTAGCTCTCTGAGCTACAATTTTACATCAGTTTTAACATTTTACTTGATAATGAGGTCATGCAGACTTCGAAACGTCGTAGTTTTTTACCGTTAATTTTTATTATCAAATGTATTTCTAAACATTCTCTGATTAAAATTTAACTTTAATGTATTTTCAAGCTCTTTTAACCCATTAACTCCTATAAAGGGGATTGTTTATTCTCTCCTTCCTGTAAATTACAAACAAAAAATGGGGGCTAAATCAAGAAAACAACTTCTGCCTGATAGTTTTGAGTAGTCTCATTACCTATTTGCTGGATGAAGTATGGATTTTGTCGGGAGAAGTGACATATTAATCATTTCTGCAAGTGGGTTAGTTGATTAATTGTTGAATTGAAATAAGAAAAAATTCTATCACTAACAGTTTTCTGGGGGTCTGAAAGGCAAGCAGGTATGTTTTCCAGTAGATAGTTCTCTTCCCTTAATTGTTCAGGAAGCCGAAGAGAGGTGCCACTAAAAAAGTAAGCAAACTGATCTGTTTCCATTACATGGAAATCTTCATGATCTTAACTTTGTATAATCCTCTCCATGCATGCATGTGCAAGAATGTTTTCATTATTTCTTAATTCTGCCAATTAGAAGCACACTGATCAAGTTTTTCATTCTACCCACATGTGGGAACAACATAAAGGAAATTAATTAATATTCAATTTTTTTTTTTTTTTATCAGGAAGTAGCCTCTCAGACATTCACTAATGCCACCATTGACAATACTGGTCAGCTCACCACTCTCTCAGCTCAGGAAGCAGCAAATGCAAGGTTAACATTGTCTGCAGCTGTTGCAGCACTCGCTGCAGGTCAGATTCCACAAGAATCATCAATCATTCCAGCTTCCCAGTCAGTTGTTGTCAGTGACAACAACAACTCAGTCAATCAAGCATGGTTTACTACTAAAGAAGACAAAGATAACCTTCATGGCAAAGGTTAGAAATATTGAGTCACATAGTCATACACATTGAATTTCATATTGTTAGTTTTGGTCAAATCTATTCTCAAGCTTCATTTTCAGTCCGGGTGTGCCTCTTAATTCCAAAATTTCTAAAGTGCCGCAGGACACTTTTTTTTAGCTACTACCCTATGGGGTGATAATTCAGTGCTTGGTTGATTATCAAGAAGAAGTTGATAAAAGCAGGCAAACTGCACATAAATTGTTAAGAAATTGACATTTCAAGCACCTCTTTGGGGCAAAGTGGTACTGATCCTTGCCATCTGATTGGCTCCTACTAGTGCAAATTAATCATAAATTGCTCCATTTCATATCCCAGCCATTGAGACAGCTTGTAATAACTAATTAAAAGCACAACAGTTAGTCAAATTTAAAGGCTTGTTTAAAAAGTGTTATAGAAATCAGTCAAATTGTAGGAAAATGAGAGAGAACTTTAATTTTGCAAACCAGCTCAATATATTATATCAATAAAATATTTGTACAGGATGAAAAAACTTGTATTGGGGGACTGAATTTTGCAACTTTGTGTCATGCAGTTTTGGTCTGAAATATTGTGGTACGATTTCAAATCAGCTGAAATCATGCACAGGATTTTGGACCAGATCTATTTAATTTGATATTATTTATTCAATTTTCCCAGTTGTTGATAATCAACAATAAGACAGATGAACAGTAGATATAACACATTTGACCCGCTACTCATGCATATGTATTTAGGTGTGAAGTGGAGACAGGGAATGTGGTCAAAAGAGGAGAATGATCAGCTTAAAGAAAACATTCTTGAGTACTGCAAGGTAACACAGCTACCAGAAGGTGTACGGTTTGGGACAAGTTTTTAAACATAGTGGTTCTCAAAAATTGCATATTAAGGAGATTCCCACTATCATTCCAACTCTTTTAGCCTTTTGACCACTAACAGTTATAGGAAACCTTTCAGAATCTGTAACACCAAATAACTTGCTGCAAAAGGTCTTCGAAATCAAATTTTAATCACAAAACTTTCACTCAAAACTAAAATCTGAAAACATTTCAGAGATGTTTTTACACAAGGTAAACTGATTTGTATTATAAGTCAAGGTTGCTTAGTTGTCATTAACAAACTTGTCTTGCAATATAAAGAAAATATTCCACACAGAGTGATTAGTTTTTGATTTCTCTTTATGATATCGCCCCTGAATCAAACATATCAAGGTCATGAGAATTAAGGAAATGATCAACAACTGAAAAAACTCTTGACTGTTAAAAAAGTTCATTACCGCACTTTGGGAAATGTGTAGAGAACAGTATGGAGAATATGCAAACTGATGTTAGGGCGTAAAAGGTAAATAAAAGAGGCAATGATTTCCTTGGCTTATTAGGTGTGCACACATTGTACTTGCTTTCCCGTTCACCTTGTGCTCTTTTAGGGTCTTGTGCCATATGATGTTTTTTTATTTATTTATTAGGTCAACAACATCCCTGATCCAAATGTAATCATATTTGAAATGACTAAAGATGATCGAAAGGATTTCTACAGAACAATAGGTACTAAACAATTGTTAGTTATCCATTCTAAAGAAAGCAAGAAGTCATTGTAACTAAAGAACACCATGGACACTTGGATAACTTTTCTTGATGCTATAATAAAAATAACTATCCTAGGTTTGCTCTAAAATTACCGGACGAAGTGACAAAATAATTTTTCCAGTTGTGACAGAAGTTTATAGTAAGGGGTTTCTCGCAAGTTATCGTGAATCACTGGATTTAGTTATAAACAGTTTAGTCTCCTACAACTGAGTGGTGGAGTATCTACAGTACTTATTGATTGGTCTTAAAATAAGTGAGGAGAATTTGCTACCTTTCTATGATCAAGAAATGGACAGATATTCTAGTCTTCTCGGATAAGGATGAATAAACCATAGGCCCCATCTCCTGCAGGGTTAGGGGTAGGAGACGTTAATTTCCCACGCACGAGATTACTGTGTGGTGGATGTCCTCCTCTAGGTGGGATGGGTGGGTGTTGGCCCTGAAAAGCCCCTATGGGGAGTGGTCAGTTAACCTATGTATGTATGTATGTATGTATGTATTGGAAGGTCACAGGTTCACCTCTTATTGGAAACATTCAGAGTTCTTCTTCTCCTGTTTCATACACTGAATAACATCTTCTTTCAATTGAACATCACCAGGCTTAAAATTTGCATTTTCATTTACATTTCCATTGCACAGAAGCATTACATATTGACATTCTTTTCCTAGCAATGTGCAGGAAGTTTATCACCATGGACACAACTAAATGGGCTAGCCTACCAAAGGGTCTCCCCTATCATAGCTCAGTGGAAGAATGTGCGAACTACTGATCAAAGGATCGTAGGCTAGACTCCTATTCATTCACTGAATAACATCATCTTTCATTTTTATTTTTATCAGCCAAGGGAATAAGGCGTCCTTTATTTGCTATATACCGTCGTGTTCTACGCATGTATGACAGGCGAAATTACATGGGGAAGTACTCATCAGAAGAAGTGGAGCAACTGAAATCTTTGAAGGAGAAACATGGTAATGACTGGGCTACCATTGGTGCTGCTATGGGGAGGAGTGCATCGTCTGTCAAGGATAGATTCAGGCTTATGAGGGAACACTGTCATTCTGGTAAAAATTCATCATTGGTTTTCTGATTTATTCTGAAAGAAGAAGGCTTAATGAAAAAAAAGGAGAAAGAACTGTAAGGAGACCTCCTTAAAATCACAGAGCCTGTAAAGCTTTGCTGGTTCAGAGTTTTTTTCATGAAAAATATTCACAGACTGGAAATTTTTCTTAAAGCTATGGTAATACAATTTGTGGAATAAACCAGAGAGAGACCTTGGAAGAGCAAGGCTGGGCTCTAAGAAAATCGGAGGGAGCCCAGTGCCCTAAACTGTGAAATCCAGGGTGCCCAGCATATGCTTTTTCTTAAAAAACTAAGATTCCTGAGTCTCCCAAGAGTAATGATAATAATAATGATGAGCTTTATTTAACCAGGGAACACCATTCTGCAGTGTGTTCTCCCAGAAGTCCCTGGTGCCAGGGGCCACCAGGTGCTGCTAGACCACAGCTCTGAAGAGTCAGGGATTGCTCAAAATTCATAGGACTTTTATGAATCAAAATAATCTGAAGACCCCCACTCCACCTCCCTTGGTAAAAAATCAAATCCTGATTTACCCTTCTATATATATGATGTAACTTTCTTCTAAGGTTGTTTTTATTTTACATGATTGTAGAGAATCCAGAACCACTTTAATTTTTTCTTTTTTTTTTTTTAACAAAAATTAATGTTTAAGGTAAATGGACGGTGGAGGAAGAGCAAAGACTTTCCAATGCAGTGCATGAACTTAGCAGTGCAACCTCTGGGGATTTCATTACAGCTGGGATATCTTGGGCAGCTGTTGCTGAGAGAGTCGGCACACGATCAGAAAAACAATGCCGTTCCAAGTGGTGAGAATTTTATAGCTAGTTTTTGAGACCTTAATGTCTATTTAAAGCAAAGTAGTCATGTGTCAGACTAAAAAATCCATCCAGTCATCTGAGATAAGTAGATTTCCTGTGGGGGAGGGGACATCCAGTTTTTTTTCCTAGCAGGGGGTGCACTAAGGAATGACATTGCTGGCCAGTAAAATGTGAACTGCTGAGAAGACAAAGTAAGCAGTAAAGCAGATTTTGTATAACATTGAGGTTATGTTAGAGAGCAATAGGTCATCATGGGGGGGGGGGCATACACCTCCTGCACCTGTCTTCTAGACCCCCCCTGTTTCTTGCCCTAAAAGAAGCCATCCCTACAGGCCAGTTCTATCTTTATCTCTCAGCAGGGCTGAGGTAGTTAATACAGAGTAGATTTTAATTAACAAATGGTAAACACCACAGCGTACACTATTGAGTTATGGATGCACGCGGGAGGTTGCTAAGCACGAAAGAAGTGTAAGAGTCGCGCGAGGCGATAACCGAGAGCGACTCTAGCTTCTTGAGTGCTTAGCAAACCTCCCAAGTACATCCATAACTCAATAGTGTACGCTGTGGTGTTTACCATTTGTTTTATAATATAACATTGATACATTGTAGCTTAAGAGTTCCCTTTTATTTAACAAATCTTACGTGACCAGAAAAAACAAGCGCGCGCAGAAAAATAGTCTTTGCATTTGCTCACGTCAGCAGCGTACACCCATCGGCAAATGGGGGACGCTAAATTGACCAATCAGAGCGCGCCCTTTACTTTGGATATGTTATAAATTTATTTTTGACCTTGCACAGGTACACAGGGATCAATAGAGCATCATCAGGTTTTCTTCGATTTGAGTTGAATTTGTGTGTTGATATGTTACGTGTCCTTGTGTTTGCTGCTTTGCTCAGGTTAAATTATTTAAATTGGAAAGAAAAAGGAGGTCAAGAATGGACAAAACAGGATGAGATACAGCTTATTACCCGGTAAAATATGTTGACAGCACAATTTCTAGACTGACAATCCTAGGGAATGCTTCAATTTCCACTTCCCTGTAAAGAGAAAAATTAGAAGTTCTACCTAACACTTGTGCTCACTAATTAACCATTTTAACACCTGAGTTTGATTTCTCCTGACATCAACCCTGAAATAAAAAATTAAGGTCACGAGAATAAAGGAAATAATCACTAATTAAAGAAGCTCTTGATTGTATAGGAAAATTCATTGCAATACTTCACTAGGAATTCCGCATTAAACTGCACGCGAAAACCGAAATCGCGCTTATCGCGAAGCAATGAGTGCGATATCGGTTTTCAAGTGCAATTTAACGCGGAATTCACGAGTCGAGGAATGGATTCTCTCCTTGAATCGCAAAGTTCAATTAAAATAAGAAAAAAAAAGAAAACAGCATTACTTAACGTTATGTATACCTTAATGCGAAACAATATCACTTAGCCTCGTTTTCAACTCGCAGTTCTACGCTAAATACTTCGTTTCGTTAACCAATCAGAATTCGAGATTTTATTCAAAGATGTGATCGTTAAACAAATTTTCCTTGTCAGCACCTTAGGAAATGTACAAAGAACAGTATGGAGAATATGCATACTGATGTTAGGGTGAAAAGCGTTAAACCTGAACTGGGTGTCCAATTTCCTAACTCGCACACCCTGTCCAAAGGATGTCAGTTAGTTGCATGTACATGCCTAGTAAATATTGACTATCACAAAGGGTTTTTTTTAATCAGTGATAGTCCAGGGCTTCAAGCAGGAAGAGTAACAATTTAACCTGTCATTTAACACCTTACAAACTTGAGGTTTTGTGCTTTTTTTTTTTTAGTCATTTAAATCAGTAGCCTGTGTAGCGGACCTACAAGGGAGGACTAAGGGGGGATTTATGCAAGGACAAATTTTGGCTGTTGGGAGTGGGGAGGGACACATTCCAGTGATTGTGCTTCGTCCTTACATGAACTCTCGATCCTCCCACGTTTTTTATTCAAGCCACACAAGCTATTTATTTCGTTATCCTACACGTGCATCTTTAACATGGTAAGATGCAAAGCTTCTGCATTTAAGCTCACTGAGTACATTCGTTGTCATAGGATCCACGAAATGAATCTTCAGGATGAGAACGATTTAGATTGGCAAGTGATGGCGAGTAACTGGTCCAGGTTGGGTACTTTTGTAACGTGTTTTATTTTGTAGCTTTTTCACTCTCATCATTAATTGTACTAATTTCGCACACCTTCATGTTCTTTCTCCTTAAGTGTCCGTTCTCCCCAGTGGCTTAGAAGCAAATGGTGGGCTTTGAAAAAACATGTACCTGATAGTGGTATGGGAACATTTGAAGGTATTTAGTCACAGTAATTGTTTGTTTTTCCCTGTTTTGGAGGCTACGATTAGCCAGCGAGCAGGTCTTCACTCTAAGGCCTTGAGCAAACCCAAATGACGAGTGGTCTACAAGGGGCAGACTTCTCAAAATTCGATTCGTCTCAAATCTTCCCGCGGGCGGGGAAACGCGCGTCGTGGAGCGCTCATAATAATAGGGACCTTAAGCAGTCAGGACGGCAACGCCAAGGAAGACTCCGATTAAAAAATGAATTTCTACTCTTAGTTAGAATTTCAAACATGGCTGCAGGAGCTTACTGTCTCATATGGCGCCACAGCTCAACTTCAGCATGACGTATAAAAGTAGCGTTGAGTTCCAAATGAAAATTAAAATAATTTGCCGTCGCGGTTTCGGTTCGCAGACGACGCAAATTTTGGCGATTTCACGTTGTTGTTTTGCATAGGACGGCTAAGAAATGTACAAAGTTTCAAAACGCACGTGCTGAGCTATTGTTCTGCCAATTAGATCTCTTGTTTTTCCACGTCCTCGTTGCCGTCGCCGTCGTGGTTGCTTAAGGTCCCTAATAATTGAACAAAGCACTTAAATTTACTACTACGCCTCTTATGCAAATCTGTATAGTGTATAAACGATGGTTACGAATATTCTTGTCAATAAAATCCCCTGATGGGTGAGCAATCACGAAACAGTTTTGTTTATCATGACTTTATTTACTAGGTGGTGCTATTTAACAACCAGCCAAAAGCCAATAACACTTCCAATTTTGGACTTTTCAATAGCCAACCACAAAGGCTTTGATTAAGAATCTTTGATCAGACTTTGACACTTACATGTAGATTATTTCCATAGCTTTGGTGTGTCAA